TTTTTTTTTGCAGAATTATTGTCATCTCTTGTGTTTGGAACTTTCCTGAGAACCGACTTTTTTTACGAAGTGGCTATATGATCGGCTCCCACTCAAAGTCTTCGATGTACGATCCAGTAGAATTTTGAGGGGGTGGGGGTGGAAGAGTGAAAGATTTAGGGAAAACAATTCCTGAACGGACGGAGGAAAAATTGTGAAAAATCTCCACTGAAGCTTTTATTTTTTTAAATTTACATCGGAGTTGACTGTCCTTCTGAGGGACAAAACTGAATCACGACTCACGCTATAAAAAAATATTCACGCCTCACGGCTAATTTTTTCGCATTTTCACGACTMACGGCTAATTTTTYWGCCGTTTCACGGCTCACGGTTAACCCCATTGAGACCCTCACACTCACACATGCAATTTCGTTTCGAAACTTCAACGCTATCACAACGAAAATCCGCTGTATTTCGACGATATCGCCGAAGGTCGGGCTCTTTCTCAATGTATACAACACTCATTATACGCTCTATATACCTCAATCAGAAGTACATAACCAGACTGGTTATGTACTTCTGACCTCAATATAACCTAACCCTATCCCTTACCCTAAACCTAACCCTTTGGGAACCCTGTGTTGTATAYATGAAGGAAGGTCGARCCTTGATAAGGTAATACGATCAGGGTTGGACATTTCAAACCATACAAACCATTCAAACCATACTGACCCCTCCCCCGCTTAGTCATAATTATAACTTTTTTTCAAAGCAAAGATCCAGGTTCTCTCCCTTATCGTTAGTTAGTTTATAGCCATTATGATAGTTTTTAGAAAAACAAGTTTTTTTCTAAGATAGTCTAACGCATAAGATTAGAAGTATATAATAATAATATAGTTAGTAATAGCAGTAGGGCTTGTTGACATATTCTTGACAGAAATGTAACAGAATTGAACCTTGTAACTTTGTAACTTCGTAACTTCGTAACTTTGTAGCTTGTAACGCCATTTCCAGGGACCCCTAAGAGGGACCTGTATTTGGAGATGATAGGCGTGGCAGTGCAGAAATTTCATCCCTGGAAGGGACCAATAATCACGTCTATTAAAGTGACAAGACGTGAAATAAAATCAATCATCTAATTAGCAGCTGTGGTTTTTGATCTCAAAATGACGGCTTAGGGACGTCATATACCCTAAAAGGGACYACAAAACTCAGTTGGTRGGAATTCTCGTCATTATCACCCTAAGCGGGACCAAATTACAGATTTCAAACCCTAAAAGGGACGCCGAGGACCCCCGCCCTTTGATATCCCCCCCCCCCCCCCCCCCGGATCTATCATGGGCTATCTACCATGGGCTAAAAATAAACTAATTTTTAAATAATATTTATTGATTCTTTGAAATTAATTTAAAAATAGGCAGAGCTGCCTGTTGAGTTAGTTAACGTTGGGTTACCTGTGGTATGCTAGCAAAGAGCAAAGTCCTGGGCTCTTTTGTACCCATTCCTATGGATAGCGCGGTTTATTTGATAATAGATTTGGTAACTGCCATCCGCCGCAGACTCTTTTGACAAAAAGTTTCCAAAAATAAGCCGAAACCTATAGCTAGTACACTATGATACGGGCAAATATGCGATGAATGTTGATAAACAAATTATGTTTTCAAAGTTTGTGGAGGGAAACAGTGCTTGAAAAGGACTATTTATATCATGGACAGCAATGTAGTTTCAGATGTCAGTTTTGCGAATATTTCTCATAATCAAATACCTGATGTACCAGAATATCTTATGATTCCACCTTTGATAGCGGCTAGTGTCACTACAACTGTTCCCATGGCTTCAGATTCTAAGGGAATTACGACTAGTTCGTCCCAAGGTATGGTCCTTATGGCTTTTAAGCTTACCTGTTTATACGTAAGCTTATAGTTTTGTATGCTTAACGAACTTTGCAAAACTTCTCTATTCTCTAAATTCTTTACGCTTTAATTAAGTTTACTTATTTAGTTAGTTATTGGGCAACCCCCAATTGACATMCATCCGCATCAACATTTAACTGTTAGTTATTTCACGTTCTCTCCTTAAAACATAATATTTCGAATATGCATGTTTGAATTTCGTGTCAGCTGTTTCATGTGCCATTGTACCAATGTACATTGTTAGCTAATCTGTAAACCATAGCAAGCAGCCTTTGTCAATTAAACTAGAGGATGGACCATTCTTTTACACAGGGAAATCAGAAATAAAACATCTACAGCAAGACCTTGGTAGCATGCAGACTCATGTTGTTAGAGAGGTAAAGTGTGAATTCAAATAGATTTTATTGAGTACAGTTTGTAAAATCTTATGGACGATTTTTCAATAAAGTTATTTTGTCATGTTAAAATTGCAAACATAAATAATCAACCAAACTGAAAACTAGAAAATATAGGGTTCTAGWGGCAAAGACCAAATGSTTCTCACACTGCCAATCATAATGATAGTCGGGCTGGTCATAGGCTAGAGTGGCTTTAGTTCTACCTTTTGATCTATTAATCTATGTCAGGATCATATCTTTACATTATTCTATGACCACAACCCAACATCTATTTCACCCTGACCTGCTCCCAGTCTGGCCTTGTAGCTCAGCTGGTAGAGGATCGGTAGTTCAAATCCAAAGGTCGTGGGTTCGAATCCCTGCTAGGTCAGAAATCAATTTTTCCGAATTTATTCCTAAGGGTCTTTCTCCCGGAATTGCCTCCTTCTAAGCACTATAACTTTCTTTCATTTCTATATCTATGTCGAGATGTATCTATATCTATGCATTATGTTGCATTTAGACCACAGGAAGTCCAAATGTTAGAGATGTACTCACCTTGTCAGTGATTTTTTAATGCTACAGTTTGTGCTTTTATGCAACTAAAAATCAGTTCATTTACAAATGTTGTATCTGTGATCTCATTGGAATGTATTTTAGCATCAGGAGCACATGTGCAGCTCGCATGCAGCGTTGAGTACATAACTAAGTCAGTGACCTTTCTTGTAGCTTTTAACCCTCTGCATACTTGCATAAAATGAGCCAAAGATCTTTTGTATGATTCACAGGCATCCATTTTGAGCTTCTTTTTATGTTTGAAAATTAAAATACATTGTAAAATATTGTGAGATTTGACCTTACAGATGGAAACAGAAAGAACTAGGTTATTTTTGCAGCTAGATTTAGTGCAATTGAAAATTGACCACCATAATTATATATATTATATACAGCCTTTTGCACAAATTATGAGACATTTTTATATATATAAATATACCTAACCAAATACAGCCTTTTGCACAAATTATGAGACATTTTTATATATATAAATATACCTAACCAAATATCAAAAACACCCAAGAAATTATGGGATACCGTCGCTGATATTTTGTCTGTAACAACCTGATGCTAGGCAATCATGACAAAATATAATAGARATATACCATAATTTCTGGGGTGTTTTTGATATTTGGTTAGGTATATTTATATATATAAAAATGTCTCATAATTTGTGCAAAAGGCTGTATAATGGTAACAGCACATCAATATACACAAATTCCATGAATTTAGATATCATTTTCTTAGATGTATTTTTGCTGCTATCAATTCTCAAATTTACAAGAGAATATATTTCTTAGTTAAAGTGGTTATTTCTTGATAGTTTTTACATTTTGTCAAAAAAGGTTAACTTGCATACATCCAGTTCTTGATACACACAGGAGATTGATTAGCAAGAAGGAAGCATAAGAGCTTCATTTATTATATGACTCTTTTGGAGTTTTATATTTTATGTTTTAATGGTTGATTATATGACACTTTTGGAGTTTTATATTTTATGTTAATGGTTGATTATAAAGACAATACTTTGATTAACTCTCTAAATTTTAGGCTGAAATTTTGCAAAATCTACACGATAAACTATCAATAAAAGGCCATGAGATGCGCAGAGTTAAGGCTGAAATTGGACAACTTCAGGTTTGTGACTTTTTACAACCATGGTGCATTGCAGCGATTTTTAATTAAATATAATAAGCATTTAACAAATTGTGGAAGAATGTGTGCTTGTTCTTTTTTGTTCTTTAATGAGAGTGGTATRTATTAAACATGTTTGTATGGGTTCAGCAATTGATCTAGTATTTGATTTGTATATGTGTGATCTTGTTTCAGACAGCAGAAAGTGCTTTGCAGCAACATCCTTCATACTCAATGATGTCAGGGTCAAATGTGTCTTCATCAATAAATGCAAGGTAGACATTTTTATTGACCGTTGAATTGTAGTCTAACTAATTAAAATAGCATCATTTTGATAAACATGTATCATCAACAAAATCATATAATTAGTGATCTAATAAAGTTCTATGAAAATATTGGACTAGAGATTATAGTGATCAATAAGGTGATTTCTTTTTTTATTTTCAGTAAATACTGGTATACTTTACAAAATTACTCAATGTTGATAATTTGAATGATGATAAAATACACACTTTGACATCGCCAAATTAGCAGGGTTTCTTGTAGTGTAGTAGCTTTTTACATTTGATAATATAGTTTTTTGGTGCAGAACCTAGCTATTATGATGAGGGACTGAAGGGTGCCACTTTGAGTACTTTCAGAAAAATGTCAAGAAATTACTCTGTGCAGTGGACTTGATTCATGAATAATAAATGAGTTTTGGAAAGTACATTTTACACACATTTTGATTTATAGCCATTCAATGAGCTCCACTGGGTTACAGACCACATATTCCACAAGTATAAATCCTGTGGTGGAAGAATTTAGAACAAGACTTCAAATGGTAACATATCTTTTAGAGTTTAAGTGTTTTTGATTATTAAATAATAAATTATAGAATATGTTGGTGTTAGCAAATTGTCCGGGTGTGAGGAGTCTTGAGGTGAAGACGTCCTGATGATCTGAAGGTGACTTCCAAATGTCAGGTAACTTTAACAGTCTTCCTCAAGACTTCTTATACCCGAACAATCATACCACACCTGTCCCTTACACCTGGGTCAGACCCTCATTCTCAATTATAGAATAATAATAGAATACAAAAATGTTCAATTAATGATAATTGTTATAAATATGATATAGTTATGTGAAATGCTTTCCCAGGGGTGGAGGGGTACTCCCCTATATTCGCTTTACAAAAGTTTAAAAATTCGGTCTACACGCAGGCTAGTGCTGGATTTTACTCTGGAACAGGGTATCGTTTTCAGCGATTTCACTCTGGAACAGGGTATCGTTTTCAGCGATTTCGCTCTGGAACAGGGTATCGTTTTCTGCGATTTTACTCTGGAACAGGGTATAGTTTTCAGCGATTTCACTCTGGAACAGGGTCAGGATTTTGAGGTCCCAGCGGCACACAAGTCGGGAGGGAGGACCCCCCTCCCCCGCTCCTTCCGGAATGCTTTGTGATTACATGCATGTTTTATATTACAGACAAATGAACTATGTGCTAAGCAAGATGCATACTACAGAGACATTATCAAGGAACTAGAAGAAAGACTCAAAGAGACAGTACAGGGAAGAGATCATATCTTGACTCTTAGGTATCCATGGCAACGTTACTTGTATGCAACAAAAGATTTCATATAATAAATTTCTTCACAGAAAATCACTAAAATCCATTTGATAATGAAAATCATCTGCTATCAAATAGACTGCTTTTTGAAATAATCAACAGCATTTTATAGCAAAAACTTTGAGTTTAAGAATTTTCTTGTTTAGGACATAATTGTAATATTGTTATTTTGATTGATCATAGAGACAAAGAAGCTGCTGACCAAGTCAGTTTAATGAGACAACTTGAAAATGCCTTGCGAGCACAACAGCAATTAACAACTGCAAAATCTGAGGTAATGTTCCCGATGTTATAATTGATAAATTTGATGATCAATAAAAATCAATTATTATTAGCAATTGTCATAACTAGGCGGTTATTGCTTGAATTGTTTCAAAAGATCATTGCTCAATCCTATATTTCATTTCTTATGTTAAATTCCTATCTATGACTTAATGGCATGTTTTTTTTTATTTTTTTATCAATTGAATACTTATCATGGTAACAAAATATGGAAAACCATCGAGCCCATTTGTCATGAGCCAACGCAGGGTTCCCGCGTGTACGCACGTTTCCAAGGGCTTCTTTTCTCGGTGTTTTCAAAATGGAGGAAAGGTAAAGTCCTGGAATCGGCTAGGCTCAGTCTCCAGCCGTCGGGATTTCGTGCGCCCGTGATACCAATCTCGTACCCAGAGCCGCCGTTCCTCTTGGTCGACCAAGAGGAACGGCGGCTCTGGGTACGAGATTGGGAATATGCCAGAGCCCTCGTTTCTCGGCGCTGACCAAGAGGAACGGCGGCTCTGGGTACGAGATTGCCGCGATACTCTCTCCCCTGACGGCTGGGCGCATGGGGTTGGCTAGAGAGAGTATCGCGGGCGCACGAAATTAAATCCCGACGGCTGGAGACTGAGCCTAGGAATCGGCCGGTCACGTGACACCTGCTATAGTTGGGTGTTAAGCTTGAAATACCGATGAATACATGCACTATTGGGTCTTCGAAAATAATAATTGTCAACAATAGGCCGAGCAACTTTCATATATTTTTGGGCGATAAATAAATAGTATTTTGAAAAAAAGGGAACAAAGAAGGCCTTGAGACGAGGAAATTTGCATGTGGGCTATTAAACGCTGTTAATTTTTAGKAAAAGACATTACTAGCTTAACGTGTTTGTGTGTTTTATTAGGATTTAGCTAATCTTGAAGAAAAGCAGAAGCATTTACAAGACAGGCATTCCTCTTTGCTGTCCGTCTTTGGTAAACTTTCAGAGGTTCTTGTCAATCACGCAAGAAGAAGAGGAAAACACAGTTTGGTCRAAAATCAAGAAGCTAAAGAATTCGACAGTCACATGGGTGATGATCTTCTTCAAACTTTACAAAAATGTTTGTTCGAAGAATCTTGTGAGATAGAACAACTTTCTGCAAAACTTGAAAAAGTAAATCATTCTGTGGATATTTCTGTTCTGCCAAGCATGTTSTCGCAAAAGATGGGGCTGAGGGAGCAAAAGTTCCCTAGTGCATACTTAGCTTACACAATCTAAGACCTGAAGCGCAACCTGTCTCATACTAACGGCCTGTAAGCTATTTTGTTTGCTAAATCGATGATAAAAATCACAAATAGGAAAAATTAAGAACTTACTCGCGCACACCTTACGGGTTTTTTTATTATTATTTGGCTAAAAGACGGCTTGTAAGCGACCTTATCATTACAAACTAATTGGTTTTGTTATTTTGCAGGGTTCAAATGATCTGAAAGAATTGAAAAGTGAAATGAAGCAAAAACTTGAAGATACAAAAAGTGACTATGTTACTAAGTGAGTCAGATGGTTTTAGATAGCTTTGGATGGAGCACAATTAGTGAATATTTTGATTGGAATGTCGTTTGCCAACGGTACATTTGTTTGATGATCATTCAGCCCTGCACTTCGCTCCAACAGTGGTTGTTACCGGTCTATGTCCAGTCTACGGATAGCGGCGTCGAACTGAGGATCGCCGGTTCGATTCTCAACTCGATCACTTTTTCTTTTTCTTTCTCTCTTTTTTAACTCTTTCAATTTGTTTTCTTTCTAAAATTCTAAGTGTACTTCTTCTTTTTAAAAATTCTTAAGTAAATTCGCGCGATTTGATTGGCTGCTATCTATGACCCATTTACCCATAATTAGCACTCCCACATCAGATTTTCCCCCGAAATGTAAAAAAAGAGTTTCTTGTTGGCAGCAAAATAACTAAAAACTCCATAAATTTTGGTAAAAACACAAAGGAGACATTTAAAGTGGCAAAAGCACATTGAAAACGTCACAAAACCGCTAAGCTGAATTTTACATCTTACAGGAAAAAAAGAAAACATGCGAAAAAAAACTGCTTATTACTGCCACCAGTTGATTATAATCAATGTATTTTGTTTGTCTATTGTTGATTATAATCAATGTATTTTGTTTGTCTATTGTTGATTATAATCAATGAATTTTGTTTGTCTATTGTTGATTATAATCAATGTATTTTGTTTGTCTATTGATGTATTGCTTTTTTTCAATTTATTTAAAGACTTAAAATTCACCAAAATGTTTTTTTAAGGCTAGAGAATTTGAAAAAGAACCACCAAGAAGCGTTGGAATCTGTAAAATCACAGTGTACAAAAGAAACTGAAAAACTTCGCAGTTCTGAACAACAACTGGACCTCACCAAGTAAGAATTATATACGAGTAAATGCAATTGAAGAATTAAGGTTACCCCAAACTAACTGTGTCTTTTTTAACTCGCTCACTCCGCATCAAAAATGTCCGTATAGTTCTGGTTTGTACATATGTTATATCGACACTCAGTGAAACAAGTAGAACCATTGGGTCGCGGACAATACAAGAGCTTGTCAAATTATCACAAACTGTATTTCTGACGTGACAAAAAATATATATCTGCCGTCAGCTATATGATTCGTTCACAACACGGACATATGACGTTTTCTAAACTTCAAAATAGCATCTCAAAGTTCTAAAGACGTAGTTTGAAATAATATGATTGTAGCTAATATTTGACTATTTGTTTTAGCAAAAATCACTCGATTGAATTGTCGAGTTTAATGGAGAAGGTTAACACCTTAAAGAAAGAACTGGACAATGTTAATAAGCAGAAAGATGACATTGTCAGCGAATTCGAAAAGAAGGTGACGTCAAACATTTTATTGCCATCTTTTGTGAAGAGGGGAGGGTCATTAGTTATAGTTGTAAGTTATCGGGAGGGTCATATCAGTAGTATAAGAATTCCGGTTCTGCGCTATAACTTCAGAGGCTCGTGAGGCACTTAGCCCGTGAGGGCAGCTCCCGCACTCCCCTATTTTCGTCACGATTGGCTATCAGTTTTTAAAAAGTCTTGTTTTTTAGCGACACTTAATGAACGGAATCACAGTCTCGACAACAAAGGAACTTGGCTTTCAAGGTGTGGGCATCCACTGGAAAGATATGAATATCGCATTCCACTAGTTAATTGATCAGTCCCATGAAAATATTTAATATACCCCAGACTTTTTTATAGCCCTAATTCAACTCCAACATGCGGACACCTGGTGATCCCCTCACGGGCTGGGGGAGGATAGAGGGCAGCTGGCCGGGATTCTTTTTTTTTTTTTTTGGTGCTTGGCGCAGAACCCCCATTTTAGGTGTAATTTCTAGGTTTCTAGGAAAAAYATTTTGAAACATTTTGTTGCGCTTTAAGCACAAAAAGTAAATAGTTACATTCGTGGTGAGGGCACTGAGTTTATTTTGCTGGGAGTGGCCGGGGAGGGACGAACGTTGTTTAGGAAAAAATAGCCGACCCCCCCCCCCCCCCCTCTCCTCCAATAATTTTAATTTTAATTTAAGGATACCGTGAGTATGGTGGATGTCGATGTCAGTAGCACGAGAGATTTTGTTATAATCGATTATCTTTTGTAATAGAATGGTGTGGATTCAATGTCGTGGTGGTTTCAATAATCATGATAATCATTGGCACCAGTAAGCATGGATGGAATATTAATACAAATTAATAACATGGTTGTGTGTTGTTCCATAGAGTAGCGAATTCGACTTCACCAACCATGGCAGCGCCGTCGAACTAAAGCTGCTTCGCGAAGAAAAGGAGAAGCTTCTCTCGACCTTATCACAAGAACAAGCTAACGTAATTACATTGAAAAATACACTGGTAAACACTGAAGAGAACCTCAAAATAGCTCAGCAAAGAATAAACGTTTTGAGTGAAGAAAACAGTCAAAGTGAATCGAACTTAAGGAAAGAAATCGAGAATTATCGACTCGAAGCAGAAAAGTATAAATCATTACTGATCGAGAGAGAGCAGGGTTTGTGTTTCGAGATGAAGAAGGAAGTACAGAATGCAATTCGTGACGAACAGTCTAAGGCAGACGGTAAAATTGATATTGTACTTATTGAACTGAAGAAAGTTAACAGCGAAGCTCTTACTCTCAAGGATAAATGCGAATCATTRGAAACAGAACTGAATGAGCTGAAAGTAGAACTCAAGGTTACAAAAGAAACTTTAGAAAAGACTGAAAAACACTTAACGAACGAAAAAGATGAGAGGCTGAAAACAATGAACAAGTTAGAAAATGAAATGAACGAAGGAAATCGCTTGCGAAAACAATTAGACGCAAAAGCACAGGATTTAGAGGAGAGAAGTAAAGAAATTCAAGATGCGAACATAAATTTCGAAAAGTTGAAAACACAGCTTGAACAAAGGGAGAAAACTATCGCAACTTTTAGGGAACAGGATAACTACTTTGCAGAAATCGTGCGACGGAATTCGCAGGCTGGCGATACATTGCAAAGAGAAAAAGAAAGATTRGTGAAAAAGGAGCAAGAACGTAGTGCAGAGGTGCAAGAAATGAAGAAACACTGTGAAATATTAGCTACAAAACTCATAGCAAAGGTTTGTTTAATGTTGTTGGTATTCCGTCATTTCCAAATTTTATCATGTATCAAAGTATGTAACGTTATTTTCCTATTGGCGTGCCATAAACGTGATTTGTTAATGAATGAAATCATTTAATCTGACATGTAGCTATTATTTTTATCATTCTTTGGATGTGTTATGGATGCACATTCTTGTATTGCATTAATAACGGTGTGCAGTATTACTGTCACATCTGAATCCATTGATTTGAAGGACGCTAAATCGCCAAAACTGATTGTCCCTGATTTGAAAAAGTCGAGTCTAAAAAAATTCGCTTGGAAACTGCAAAAATTAATAATGAGGATGTACACCACACTGCTACAGGCGTTATTCAGAAAGCGAACGTCTCTCAGTTAGAGTCACATACTAGTTCTTTTATGTACGATGATTTTCATGTAATGACCTCGCTCTCGGTTAATAAGTAGTATTTATTCCTAAACTCAGGATAAAAGACTCAAAGAAATAGAAGTTGAAAATGATCAAGCAAAGAAGTCTATGGCAGCTAAAAGTGAGGAGTTRGCAGCGTTAAGGGATGATAGAAATCAGATTGTGTCTGAACTGAACACGAGACAGCAAGAGGTTGGAAAACTAAAACAAGAGCGAGACTCACTGAATGCTTTACTGGAAGGCAAAGACGGTGAACGTGAAAAAGAAATTGCGAAGTTATTGTCTAGACTGAAAGGTAAATATGTGTTCGTTCACGAAGCTAAGTTATTTCGATCACGATTGTGTCATTTTTACATTTAGGTTTTTCATTTGGAGATTGGGAGAAGGTGGATCAACATCTGTAAAATCGTTTATTTGATGTTCGACTCATAACATTGGTTTCTTTCAAGCAATCATTTACCTCGAATCCYAATTTATTCAAGAATTGTTCAGAAAATTGTAATTGCTTTCAAGCCAAGGTGATTCGATGTGGACCAGCCTTAAATGAAAGAATACTGAAAAATACATTTTTAATATTCAGGTTCTGAGCAAGACTTATGTCTTACAAAAAAACTGCTCAAGTCGAAAGGTGATGTCAGTGGAAAAGGTAACAAACTCTGTGAAGTTCAATTTACAGTGTTATCGGAACCCAAAGTAGTCGTTACTTAGATCGACTTTATTTGATTTTAAACAATTTTAGCAAATATTGTAATAAAACTTAAAATGAAGACAAATGTACGGTTAATTTCTTTGAGAAATAAAATGATAAACTTCCTTTAGAAGTTTATAGAACCTTCCAGAACCCTTTAGCAGTGGAGTTTAGCTGTTAAAAAGAGAATGCTACGAGAAAGACAGAGTACAGTGGGAGAAAATGGAAAAGCTTCGAAAAGAAGAACTCCGAAAAAAGGATAGAGTAAATGTCATTTATTGCAACATTTTTTAAGCAAAATTTCTGAGAAATTGAGTGAATGTTTTTATCAAAATTGATGATGGTTTGTGATTATATTACAAAACAATGGAGGTTCTCTAGACAACATTGTTAGTTACGGATTTCTCTTGTTTTTCGCGAGATATTTGCGCAAAAGAGTCAATTAAAGAGCGCGGGTCACTATAGCTTTGTCAGTTTAATTGTAAATTTAATATTAGAATTTCTGTTCCAGCGGTACGCGTAGCAGAGACAATGCAACACCAAGTTACCGAAAAGAGAGGTGAAATGGACGCTTTGTTAAACAAGTAAGCGTATTTATAAGACGTTTTTATAATAAGTAAGACATCTTCAAGATTAGAGGTTATAAGCACTTTAAGCAAGGAAGCAAGTGCGTGCTTCTCATGTGTCTTCCACGTAGACTTATGACGTGATAGAATTGATGAATATCATATCTTCAAATAAGTAACCATAGGGGTAGACATTGTAGCAGTGGTTGTTTTAGAGTTCTCACAAACACTTCTCTGTATTTTTGTTTCTAATTGCTTAAGAAAAGTCTTCCTCACCTTCAATTGAAGAAAGTGTATCTTTATATCTTATACCTAGGTTATCTAGATCACGTTAATCTTGATTCAAAGTTTCTCCATTATCTGATTGCATGCTTCCTTAAAGGGCTACTTGGACGAAAATTGCGAAACATTAGAAAAGACTTGGGAATCAAAYARAYCTATCCATATGGATGTAATAATCATGAAGCAACAGATTTCAAGAAAATCTTCATGCAAATCCTTAATAATTTGGGCAAAAAATGTTGGAGTAGATGACGTCATCTACTCAATCCTTTTGTTCTTCCATCTTTTGAATCAAACTTTCTCTGATGTGGGATAATTCCAAGACAAATATTTTCCCGCAATTGTTTTAAATAGATATAAATGAGTCATATATTTGTATTGCTTGAAGTTTTGAAAKGAGGCCATTTTCATGCAAGTAGCACTTTAAATGGCTTAGTGACATGATTACCTTTGTCTTAGAATATTAGAAAATAATTGTGTCTATTTAAAGAAAATCAATCCGCTAACGTACTCGAGCATCTGTAAGTCGCTTTTAAGTGGTCAGGATTGCTAACGAATAAAGAATTATAGTTCTTTCTTTAGTGTAAGCATGGTCCTCATTTTGCTCTCTCGATGAGTTCTTTAATTTTTTTTTCGTTTAGAATACATTGGCTTCAAGAAAATTTGAACACAGCTGTCAAGGTAAATGACTAAAGAATTCAAAGTTTACAAATCCTTATAAAAATGAAAATGGAATGTTGTGATCTATCCGAGCACTTCATTGAGAACATAGACCATGAATTTAAAATTAAGATGATTCTAAGAGAACCATAACGTTTCTGGATATAGAAATAGTTTTGAGATTTAGAAATTGTTTTTAAACTCACGGACTAAATAAGCGAATGTGTAAAGGAATTTCGAAACTCCTTTTCAAGTGCAATTAGTTGTTTAGACCTATATTTATTGGTTCCAGACTCCCAACCCACGACATTGATTTATTGCTACAGGCCTATATGTTTGGTCTGGTTTTCACACAATATTACATACATCTCATTACACAGGACAAAATGTACTTTGAGTCTAAGAGCAGTAGGGTGTCAGACGAACTCCAACAAGCAATTCTTCTTAGAGATACGTTCCAATTCGAATTGAAACAAAAAATCGAGGAATGCAATGCCTATCAAAAGCAAGTCAGTCATTTAGAACAAGCTCTTGAGAAGGTAAGCACTTGCCATTACTTGATATCGYAATTAGAGTCATAATACACGACTTTCAATAATGGCGGTTGTTGGATTCAGACGAGCGATTCATCCCATAACACTATATATGCTTGGGGAGCATTGCTGCACTTGTAATAGATTACTATCTGTGTTTTATGCGGTATTGCAGGCCATCGACCCGATTAGGATAGCCCGATTGGTCATAGATTATTAATGAATTGTTTTTATTAATTACTTAAACAATTTACTTTAATGCCACCCTCAAATGCAGGCCGCCCTAAAGTATGCTAATTCTCAAAGTATCATCGAAAAGCTTGAACAAGACTGTGCAAGACTTAAACTCAAGCACTCCTTGGAATTAAAGGTAGATGACTGCTTAAGTAAGAATAGACTGGGAAACGGTAAAAAAAAGAAAATGGTGCCGTTCCAGTCACGTGATTAAAATACATGACTGCTTGCTGTTCTTATAAAGTTCTTTTTCACGACATTCACTTTTGCGAAACTTTTCTTAAGGACTTTGAGAAGAAATGTTCGACAATAAAAGTGGATTCACAAACCATAGCCGATATTATGGCTCGTATCAGAGACATGAATACAAGGTTAGATCTTACTTAACTCAATTATTGTTGTCTTTTGCGTGTGCTATTCATAAACTACTCTCCATGTACTGTTATCTTTGTGAAACTCAAAGGCTACTTGTAAAACTCCAACTTGAATAAAACGTATCGATAAAATAATCGTTTTCAGTATATGTGGATGTATACATAAACAACACATTTTCGTGCGTTCCTGGTAAAATAAACCACGCGGAATGTAGAACACGAAAAAGCCTTTTGAGTTTTTTCGGTGTTTAACGGTGAAATAAACAATAACATTTGACCAATCAGAGAGCGCGTACTATGATAGCTATATTATAAAAGGACTTTCACTTAAAAAAAAAACAATCTTTCGTTATTAGATAGACGTGGACAAATCCAGAATAGACCGTTTGCCAAAATGATCCCCATCGCCAACCAAAAACTGATATCTCTACTAATTTCCATTGAAACTTTAACCATATTGTTTTGTCAATAAGCGATGACCAATTTGGCAAACAGTCTTATTTTCACTCGACATTTTCGCAATTATTTTGCAAAATTATTTTTGTGAACCTGGTTTCTGGTGTTATCTGGTTTTTAGCTTGTATCTTTTGGTCAAATTTCTGTTTGTTACTTCTATTAGGTTTCCATCGGTAACCAATAAAACTGGATTAAACAATACGTCGGCCAATCAGAAGGCATCTCTAATACACCAACCAATCACACTTCACAGCCTGAAAGGATCTCCGCAAAGTAAAACGCTTCAGGACTCTAAACAAGATGTAAAGAATAATGAGGTTCAACAAGATATCAAGTCTCTATTGCTTGATGTCCGCACCTTAATATCAACATTTCAGACCACCCTGACCCCAGTTACTAAAACCGCTAAATATCTGGATGTACAAAAGATTCATGACGTAGAGTCTAGCGAAATCGCATCGGATGATCATTCACCGTGGCTCGATATCAATGGACAATCAAATGATAAGGAATTTGACATTTCACTGGATATTGAAGATGGTTRCTATGGAAATATTAGAGCACCTTTACGAAGCTCCTCGCCAAACCCGGACCGGGATGTATCTATGACGACGTCACGCGATCCGTCTACGAGCAATGATTCACATGTGATGTCATTGCTTTCTTTCTCGACCGCGCCATCCTTGGATGATGGTATTGCTTTAATTAAACGAGATAGTGCATCTGACATGAAGAAAATGTCTTTGAAGCATAGCAGTCAAAACAAGGAAAATTTAACGAGAAAATCTAAGAAAAGTATAACATCAAGTAAGTAACTATACCTATTTACAGTCTTATACCTTTATTATTAGCATAGTGAATAACACCAATAGGCTGCCCTGGGGGGGGATGGGAAAGCCGAGCTGAATAAAGGGGGGAGGAAAAGCCTTGGAACTTTTACGCAATATGGGGTTAAGTAAACCAAGCACGGCTAACGCCAAGCTCATCTAATGTTGGTGAGTTTAAATGGGATTAAATAAAGACAGTGCATATCACGCAACGTATCAACGCATTGCCCATGCTGTGGCAGGGCTTGTCTTATCCATATCGACCAGGTTGAGCGCGCTATCTCAACTTACTAGCTAAGTGCCTTACGATTGGTCGGTTAAGATGACAATTATGTTCAGTTTGTAAGGACTGGTTAACTGCAACGAAGGTCGCTATTCGCCTCACGCAAGCACTAATTGTACGCTATATGCAAACTTGTTCCCTCTCGCCCACTCCTTCTTTGGTTCAGGTAAGTACTCCACTGACAAGCATCAGTGTGACAGGTGCTTGGTTGGTGATGACAGGGTTGTCATGGATACCGATACCATTTTGTCAACGAAGCACCTAACGCCAAGTTCATCTAATGTTTAAAGTAAAATAAATGAATCACAAAGAACTGACATGAGGTAGTAGTTAGTAGTAGTAGTACCTTTATTTATACACGGTCAACTCCTCAGTATTTACCTATAGTTATGAATAGATGTAGACAATAATTCGCTTGAAGTGAAGGTCGTCAGTGAAGCACTAGGAACATTTACACGGCACTGGTATTTGGCGCTGTACTCCATAATTGTAGTCCGCGTACCCCTCAATCTTGGGACGGATTATTCGTTTACACGAATGTTTGTACTCGGATCTTTATTTTTGCGAGCACTTCTAAAATAAGAGGTATTGCACGTTTGTCTTTAATCAATGATGTTTTTTATTGTTTATTWATTTTTATTTGTTGAAACTAGGATCAGCAAAACATATTGCATTGGAAGATGTTATCACAAACAATAAGTTTTTAAAGGAAAATCCACAATTGTCACGCCTCTGCCATACAGGAGAACTAGAATCACACCATTCTCTAATGCTTAGATATTGCCCAATAAATACATGATATATAAATATGCTGTATAAAGCAATAATAGTACTGCACATGCATTTGGAATGTATTCAAATAATAATTAACTACTGTTGTAACAAAATATCTTTAGACAAGAGGATGATACATAAATAGAGGATATTGCATGGGCGCGCGGAGATACGGATTTTATCTCCGAGTGTTGACAAGATCTCTCACGAGTGAGCGTAGCGAACACGAGAAGATAAAATTCGTATCTCCAAGCGACCATGTACATTCTGTTTATCATGAATTTCATATGAAAGTAAATTATGTCGTAAAATTGCTTTTTTCTYACTTCCACTATATAGAGAAAGTTTGTTCTGATGCAAATGCGTTTAATTTTCAATTTCTTATTTCAGAATCGCCTCCTTCCTATGAAAAAGCAGAAAAAATGCTGCGGTCGCTGGCGCAAACCGGTACCCGGTTAACGAAAAAAAATAATGGTAAGAATCTAAGTTATAAATAATGTCATCAAATTGCCCGATAGGTTTTTCCATTCCCATTTAACTAGATTTGAAGGCTAATATTGGGCGTAAAGATAGATTAAAAAGAGGAAGCTAGAACCATGAAGAATTGTTCAAAGTCTTTTGGAGTTACGATAAACAGTAGATCAGAAACTTGTAAAGAATACGGACATGTTTCGAACACTCCTACCAATGTGACAGTGTATTACTAACAGCTATTTCTTTTTACCCTAGAAATTTCTCGCCTTCTGAATGAACAAGAACGAAGAATCCAACTGTGCCGAGAAAATGAATTTGATCTTAACTCCTTACTACATTGATTATTCACACATCTCATACACGGGAACGTTTTATACTTTACTATTTACCATGGACTTGCTCTCTCGCTGACGACTCTCAAACGACGAAATTTCCCGAACGAAGCTAACGAAGATGGAGGCAGACAGTAAAGCTCTTGTTCTCATCTTCACACTGATAATATGTTAAGATTCATACTATACAGTATGTATACGGCAAAAGAGACTTGCAGCAAGTATAGGGTATCCATAATAAGCTGTATAGATAGAGACAGTTCCACATCTCAATCAACAATCCTTTTTGTAGTAACAGTATTATGGTCTATTATTACATTCGCTTTATTTGAATGTGATTGATTAAACTTACTTTTTAAATTGTTGCCCTCTGTTTATAATAAACAAAAAACGATTTCCGTGTTTGATACTCTGATCAAAACACCTGTGGTGTAGGGAGAACACTCGAGAAGCTGGGAAACACCGTGAATATTCATAAATTTTCCGCATTCATCCAATGAGCATTCAATTATGGGTCACATGACAGTACCTGTCAAGTTACAATCACTGATTAATTTAAACATGAGTTTTATAACTAACCATTTCATATAACACTCATGCATAAAACATCAGTGTTGTAACTGATTTACAGACACTCGATGTGTGCCCAACACTAGAAATTTTCTCAGGTTTAGACTCTCATCATAGAACTTCACTAGGTCTCGAGTTTAAATGCAGTTATTACAGATTCATAGTAGACTAAAACATAGTGGTGCTTGGATGTGGGAAACCAAGTTGATTACTGCTCATGCTCAAATGGAGCTATCTTCATCAATTATTCATTTTTGATATTTTTTATTTATTTTATGTTAAACTAAAATATTGTAGTTTCTTAGGTTTGGGTTTTAGAAGTCATTTTCGGCTTCGTGTTTATATCTCACGATAAAACACTCCTACTCGTTTTTTAAATATCACTTGTGTAATGTTTGGTGTTTACACATTATGTAACAAATATTATATAACTGGTTATATACAGGTAGTGAATTTGCACTTCCACGTGCATTCCATACTAAGGGCGAACACAGTCATTTCTCCACTCACGCTCTCGGGGCAGAACCTCTTGGTGTTTTTTGAGATTTTTGGCAATAATCATGAGCGAGGCCGAAGCTGTCGAATAGCTGCCCGAACAAACAAGGCATTTCAACAGAAGGAGGAACTAGAACCTCGGACGAATCTGCGATCTGCATGGCCAAGGAGTGAGTGTCAGACATTTACCCAGGACACTTTGCGAGACAGGGATAGAGAGAGTGAGTGAACGCGGGAAAAGGACATGAATTAAAAAACACATGAACCAGGAGTACGAGCCTTTATTCAGGAATGATTAACACACAGCTAGTGGCTACCGGCAGGATCTAAAGGAACACGTACGTCTATATAAAGATACACGTGCCTTTAGTTATAGATAGCTGCCGATTATACTGACTTGCGTTTGGCAGTACCAAAAAACACTTGTAAGGGTCTCTTGTCACTGATCAATGCAAGGTATCAAGCAATCCTAGGGTACTTTCCATTTAGGCAGAACTGGCCGGCCAGTCCACTATATTTAGAGGTATACATGCTTTTTGTCAACATTTTTCAGTCATTTCGAGGTTTTCTGTAGAATAATGGATAGAATTTGAAAATTTGAATTTTCTAACTAAATGGGAATGAAATACAATGACATTTTCTCTGGGTGTGGCCAGCCAGTTCTGACAAATGGAAAGCGCACCTAGAGTTCTAGTCCAGTCAGGGTTATTCGCGCATAATAACATGCCTAGATGTATATCACAACTCGGGTTTTCAAACATTTTCAAAAAATCTTAAACGTCTGCTGAGCTTAAATCGGTATTTTAAGCTATATAAGCTCTGAGTATTGTCGGATTTTATACTTGATAAAGCATTGCTGCTCGCTTCTTTCATTACTTATTGGTTGTTTTAAGAGATTAAATTCCAAATGCAAAAAAGTCTAAGTGCAAGCACAAGATGATTACATCCATTTCCGTGATATAATCATAGGCCCTGCCCAATCTTTAAAAATCCAAAATAAAGAGCTTTTTCGAAGCTTTTTGGATATGGTCTGACACTTGTGGACAGAAACAGAAATTTCTGTTGTTGTGCTGACAGGGCCTCGCACTCTGGAATTACACTTCTACTTCTACATAATTTATTTACAAAATCCTGTGTGGACATTACGCAAATTCCAGTGCAGGTGCAAATAGAAATAAATAACTCAATATGTGACAGAATTATAAATTAATAATACCTATCTATGTGCATATTAGATTAAAAATAATTAACCACACTTTTTTTTACACTTTTTTACACCTTTTGTTATTATGATATCTCGCCGATGCCTATCAAAATCATTCCATGTATGAATCTGGACTAGGCAAAACTGAACTGAAGCAAAAGGATGTCGAGGAATTTCTAGCTACGAATCAACATTATTACCTCTTAACATCAGGCCCATAGGCTTAATGTTATATTTTAAAATTCTTTTGTTATTAGCTGTATCTTGCTATGAACTGCTCATTCTAGCAGACAGTTTTTACACACTATATCTGTGCATTGAACTAATTTAGTTAAACATTTAATCTAACCCCCCCCCCCCCCCCATTTGTTTGGCAGCCTACGGGCCTGTACCAACCTCCTTAGTGATACACACTATAGTAGTATTCTCACAACTTTACAAGTCAGCAGTGAATTAAAGGTTAACCATCCAACGGCCAGTCTCTGTTTCATTTGCCTAAGTGGGGTAAGGTGGAGCTGGACCAGGCGGTGCACCTTGTGGTGGGTAAGGCTGACCAACAGCTGGAGGTGGGTAAGGAGGTCCCCCAGGTGGTGGGTAGGGTTGATCTCCAGCAGAAGGGTATGGTACACCAGTAGGAGCTGGATAGAACTGACCTGTAGGGGGTGGGTAGGGTTGACCACCAGGAGGTGGATAAGACGGTGGACCATCAGGTGTGGGATATGGTTGTGTTCCAGCAGGATATCCAGGACCAGGTGGTGGGTAGGGACCCTGTTTCTCTGGATAAGGCGATGGTTGGGGTGGTGGGACTCCTGAAACCAAGAAAAAAAAACTCTTGTGGATTTAAACAAATAGTATTGTTAACAGTTCTTGAGGAGATCAGGCTCACGAAATAACACAACGCACATGCTCTCATGGATCCATTGCACGTTTATGAACGGTCATTTTCAGATTTCAATATTACATCAGAATAAAGAACGCGATATTCTTGTGACGGCTTAGTGTAACGATGTCAAAACACAAGAATTATCGAGCCAGGAGTAATATCTGGTCTTTCTCAATTTTCCAAAATAGCAAGTCCGATTCCCCATATAAACCAATTTTAAAATAAAGCAATTTTCCATCAAAAGTAGACCGACCATAAGCACACTTGTAACAAAGTCCAAGTCTGCATCCWGCTTTTTGTCCCCGGTATATTAAGGTATTTTCGAGTTGTGTCGCTATTGGGTGGTTGGTTTTACAGTGTGTTCGGTCTAAATATTTTCATTTTGTGATTCATACCTTGTTGTGGGTAAGGTTGAGGATAAGTCTGTCCTGCTGGTTGTCCATAGGCTGGCGGAGGAACATAGTTTTGTGCAGTGGGAGGCTGTTGTGGAGCAGCTTGATATGTAACTGCACCTTGGTTGGCTGCTTGTCGTGCCCTGCGCCGTTTGTATATACAAAAAATGACTACTCCAAGTACAATGAGAATGATGATAACTGCAATGATGTATGTAGGCCATCCACCAGAGGAGCTACCGCCTGTTCCTGATACTAAAAGACAAAATAAAGACAAAATAAAGTAAACAACTTTTAGCCGATTCCTTGAAAAGCAGGCAGTCAATCAGCGCGACGAGAACAAGATCTAGAGGGTTAGCCTGCAGATTTTTCCCAGCTGCATAAATCTATTTTTTCGCGTCATTGTACCGACGAAAAGGGACTCAATGTTAACAAGTTTTAAGATAAGTCATGTAGGCATGGTTACAAAACAGGCAGCATTCTGGGCTTGAATCTTTTGTGTTTTGAAGTCTATCAACCTTTGCTTATGTTCGTAGGTCCTACAAAAATTACACCCAATGATGMTTTTCAAAACAAATCGCGACAATGAAGACCCACGAAAAAAAGTTCATGCAAAAATGACCATATATTTAGATAAAGAAAGTACCCCGCAAAAAATACAAATAAATACATAAATTCTGTAAAAAGCGAAACAGTTTTCTCACCTGGTTTGTACCTTATATACCCAGCAACAAATCCTCGTTTATTCAAATTTTCACCAGGTTTAAATCGTATATAGACATTGTCGTCTGTAAGGGTCAGTGTAAATGGTTTCCTGTAACCACATCTGCTATCCATGATAGTTCTACGAGCTTTGCTGTATGATGATCCTCCTCCTTAAGAAAAGAAGTTTTTAGTTATCAGTCAATTGAAAGAAAAGGAAAAATAAGCCAGTAAAACAAATGGAATGATGCAATACACCAATATCACATTAGAAGACTTGAATTGTAGAAAATTAATTATTTAAAGTAACAAAAAAAAAAGATCAGGCACGATATTTGCTGTATCAAAGAAACATAATTCTGAAGTTTCAAGGGATAACCCTGAGAATGAACTGAATATTATTTTTCAAACATGTACTCTTTTGCACCACCGGGTGGGGCGGGCTAGTGATGGGTGGGGATAAGACCAGATACTACTGCCCCATTCAGTGCCCCAGTGTGGGGATATTTGCCGATCCAAGTTTGGGTCTCTGAGATATGGCATAGTACTTGGTTTGCAAGATGGCAGAGGTAACGGAAAGTTTTGTTTGTTATGAAAGGTCATCATTGTCTAGTCAAAACAAAAGGATTAAAGAGCATTGTACATAATAATTATTAAACTTTTGAAGAAAGAGGATAGCGTTTTTGCTTATTAGTACCCTTTATCCTGGAGGAGACAGCTCGATTTTTTAAAAGCTTAAGGTGTTGGACAACTCCCCAAAGAAAACCACAGAGGAATTTCGACACTCAAACGAATGAAAAAGCGATTCGAATCAGAAATTTCTGAGGCACTGACTTTAAATCCTCGGACATTATCCGGAGACATTCCAGCCGCCAGAAGGGATGTATTTACTGAATATTTTCATATGGACTATCATAAATATTACACCGCTAGTAAGTAGAAATTAGAATGTAATGGTGTCGTGTGTACTCTAAAACCTAAATACATAAGTTGATAAATAACAAAGCTAGTTAACAATAAAATATACAAACCACAGACCTTTAATCTTAATTTTCGTCTTATCACACTTATAACTGCGATAAAGATCAAAGTCCATGAATACCAATTTAGCATGGTAGCTGTGGCCCACATCTATATTGAAGTAACAGCTGCTGCTGTATTTCGTAGGGTATTTCTGTGGCCAGTTAGGGGAACTTATTGTATCATAGTAATCATTCTTTAGAAAACCATAAGAACTTGTGCGGCACTCATCTGAAACGAGAGTAAACAAGAAAGAGATGAACAGGTCAGATACTATTCGAGTTTTTCAATGATTTTAACAATAAATTATACGATAATATAATTTGATTGATATTTAAAACAAAAAAAATACATTACTATCTGCAGATGACATTAAGGTGGCTTCCTATAGTTTTTTTTTCGACCCTTTTTAAACTTGGTTTTTGAAAATCTTGCAATGCACTAGCCTCCTCCGCAGGCAACTCTACTCGCTTTTGGCTTTTTGGGCTTCCTGTGGCGAAAAAAGGCTTTTGCGACCCAGTCCCCTCTCCTCAGGATAACAAAGGAAGACCAAAGAGGAAGATACAAGGGTTGCCTGCGGAGGAGGCTAATTGTAGCAATGCACCAATTTAATTGGTGTTTGGACCAGTAATAAAGCATTGACCAAAGTTTTGATTGGCATAATATTAGCTCCATCAACGTTACATAGGCAACGGAAATCGAATTTTGTCGAAATTCGTTTTTGCCAAATATCTCAAAAAAATGATGAGATCCAGAAAAGCGGTAGACATCATCATTAACTTCAAAATATTGCATAACGTTTTGGAATAGTTGAAAACAAATTCATCTGTTCGACTTCGAGTAATACGCAAAAATCACATACATAAAATATTTATCAATATTACTCGAGTGTTTTCAACTATTCCAAAACGTTGTGCAATAGTTTAAAGTTAAAATTCATAAAATATTTTGGATGTCCCATAATAAAAGAGCCTAGATGAATTGTTTAAAATTAATTTCCATTTTTGAAAACAATTCCTTCGAGTTTATTGATAATAACGGCGTTCGATTGAGACACAACGTGAAGGATTAATATTATGCAGTTCACCTCTTAATTCAATATTTGAGTCCTTGTTATATAATCAAAAAAAATATCTACAGAAATGAAAACGTATATCATAACGGTCTCGCGCCGTAGTTGTTTTTAAGACAAAATACATAAAATACTTATAGACCAAAAAGACAGTAGACTTACATGGTGTAACACCTGAAAAACAAAGCAAATACATGATATAAGTTATAAGACATTCATAATAAATGCAACTGTGCAAGTTCAGAGGTGTGTCAGTTTATGTATGTGTGTGTGTGGGGAGGGGGGGGTCGCTTCTTCGTCCTATGTTTCGGCGCTGATCGCATCTTTTTTATTTTGTTCGTTCATTGTCATTTGCAGGATATTTTGCAAAAATGCTTTTAGAAATTATGGGCAAATCCTATAAGGATGTAATTATTTCTGCTGACAGAATCTATGATTCATTCTTGAAGACATACAATAGTACTGTTGCCCTGGTCAATTATGTCAAAACACTTCTCAGAGCATGCCTCTTTGTACTCTGGTGATTTGTTTAAGTGTTTGTATATATGGGAGGACTTATCGCTCTCGAGATGTTCCCGAACACGTGTTCTAAAATGCCTACGGCTTTCGCCTAGGTATGAAGAATTACATCTAGCACTAGCGATCATCAAAATCCAATCGCTGTCTTTCTAGCTACATTGTAGCTTGTTTATCATAGGAGCAATGTCAATAATGAAGTTTTAACGGCGGAATTTGAACTAGATTTTTTTAGTCTTGAATTTATTTATCTGAACACAGTAATTTAATAAACCGTCACAAATCACCTAGCCTGCGTAGCGGCTAAAATCACAAAAAATATGCAAAATTGTGCCAAATTATAAATTCAAAACTATATGAGCATGCGTGCGTTGCCTTTTCAGTATATGTAACATAATTTCCCACACGTATGGGAGCTACGTTTATCATAAGACTCGATGTTAAAGGGACACTGTCAATGGATGACATGCGCAGTAACAGTCTCACCTCTAAGACGGACTTTGAAAATATAACCTTCGAGGTAAATCATTTTGTGGTGCTTTTGACACACTTTGGAATATTCTAGATCTGTTTACGTTTACGATCTGATTTATGTCGCGCCAACTTGGAGTCATAAACTTGAAAACACTAGCCTAGTGTTTTCAAGTTTACTCGCGCATGTCATTCATTGACAGTGTCCCTTTAAAACCGTAAATGGTTAGTGGGTCTTTGTAAGGACTGATAACTAGTTTTCTTAAAAAACTCTGTTTTGAAGCAGACAGCAATATTTTAATATTGCAGCTGGCCAACCTGTTTCTGTCTGCATTCGTTGATTTAATGCAGAGGGAAAACAATGGGTTATGATACAGCGCCGGATCCAGGATTTTTCAAAGGGGGGTTCACTTTGTTTTCGCATTTTCCTAAAACGAACCTTTTTACTATGCCTTTCGAACTGTAGCAAATGTAACATGAGTGTACTTTTAGACAACGCATCTCTTAAAGTCTCAAAACGCTTAACAGTTCTGTGTGAGTACATTGCAGCCATGTGGTAAAAGTGTATAAAGCAGCTTACCTATTGTAAGATATAAGCCAGCTGCTTTTTTTATTTTATATGCACGAGGGGGGTTCCTAGGAACCCATGGAAACCCCCCCCTGGATCCGCCACAGTGATAGATATCAGTAATTATTTATTACATACTTACTTGTTTGCAAGTCAAAGGTTGTAATTAAAGCTCTGAAACCTTTCCCTGTTGAGTTATTGCCACCAGAATGAAATTTGATTCTCAAACAGGAATCTGGGGAATAAATATCAAATGATTTGCCTATCCTGCCAATAAGATTGCTTGAGCACAGACGACCAATGGATGACTTGCCGCAGCCAATGAAAACCTCCACATAATCGTTACTGCAACTAGGCATGTCACCAGTGATATCAAAGTTTTCCCATTTCAGCTTGATTCCTCTTCCACTGCGCGAAGTGAAATCATATATACAATCTGTATTGCTAGGATACCGTTGTAAATCAAGGATGCCTATGGGAATTGTACTTGTGAATCCACCAACTCCACCTTTTCTGGGAGAACTAAGGTATCCACTTGATTTTCCAGACCACACAGTTTCTCCACATGCTATAAGGAGAGGAAATACAGTAGAAGATGCAGTTGATGCATATTCATAAGATGGCATGCACATTTACACTGTTGAACTGAAACACAGTATTTATACACTACTGCAGGTCATTTTTTGAAACTGAAAGTAGTCTCTACCTTGGAAAGTTTTATCTTAAAAATAATGCTGTATATTTTGCCTAAAACACTAAAAATGCTCAGAAGCTGTACTTACTAGATGGTTGACATAGTACATAATTAACTTGAAGTACATGTAACACTGAAAAAAACAAAGGCATCTGAATAAAATGTTACTAGCAAATGCCTTCAATTAATTGATATTATTCACAAAATTATAATTGCAACTAGCATGAGGCTATAGGTCATATTCTGTAGCTGATTTGTTTAGGCTCAGTTGGGATGCATGGATGGTGTCATTAGTGTCCCGGGGGGGGTTACTCCCCCGAAACTTGTGTGGGTGTGTGCCGCTGGGACCTCAAAACCCTGACCCTGTTCCAGAGTGAAATCGCTGATAACTATACCCTGTTCCAGAGTAAATCGCTGAAAACGATTGTAGCTGATTTGTTTAGGCTCAGTTGGGATGCATGGATGGTGTCATTAGTGTCCCGGGGGGGGTTACTCCCCCGAAACTTGTGTGGGTGTGTGCCGCTGGGACCTCAAAACCCTGACCCTGTTCCAGAGTGAAATCGCTGATAACTATACCCTGTTCCAGAGTAAATCGCTGAAAACGATACCCTGTTCCAGAGTACAACCCTGCACTAGCTTGCGTGTAGACTGAATTTTTACCCCATGAATTTTTATCCAGAATTCAACCCTGACCCTGTTCCAGAGAAAATTCGTTGAAATTGATATCCTGTTCCAGAGTAAAATCGCTAAAATCGATACCCAGTTCCAGAGTAATATCACTGAAAACGATACCCTAGCTGGCGGCACGTCCCGGTATAGCGAATATAGGGGAGTACCCCCCCCCCCCCCCCGGATCAGTGTTTTAAATTTACACAAATTTTCTGGCCCATTATCTCTTAGAAACTTCCACTGAATTCTCAAGATATTATATATTTTCTTGTTCACTACAGATCTTTTTAAAGAAACTACTGACTCACTGTACCATATCAGCACATACAAGCAACATTTATCCAGTACACAAAGTATTTGTGAAAAGCAATTTCAGCTGTCTTATAGCATTTGATTAGAGACTAAATGAGTTAGAAAGTTAAAAAAACATGATTGTTGACAAAAAGGTCCAAAACTTGGGTATTCATTATGAAGTATGATTTTTAAGCGAATTGGTATCCATAAGCTTATTTGATGCATTTTCAACTATRCCCACATGCAAAAAATGGTTTACTTTTATTTTATTTATTTCATTTTAAAAGCCTTACTAAGCATTATAAATGTGTTTTAAAAAATCTTCCCCGACCCTGTATATTATATAATTTAGAGTGAAAACTTTTACATGTTTAAAGGGGGGAGGAGATTAACAAAAAAAACATTTACAGTTGACTCTCTTTAAACAATCACTCTCGTAAACGACCATCTCCCATAAGACCCATAAGCAACCACCTTTTAAATTTCCCGTTTTGTTTCCCATATAAACTCTGTAAAAAAACTCTCTCATAGGTGAACACGTTTGTAGGTGACTGCGACCACCTGTGGAGCTGAAATTGTGGAATTTTGCATTGCTTTTCCTCTCGACCACAGACCAGCGACCACCCACTAYCGATAGGTCCTTACACAATAAACGCATGGGTTTAATTTAGTTATAAAGACTACACAAAGTACAATTCCAATTACTTTAAAAGAGTACAAACCATAAAAGCATAYTATTTAGGATCAAATACTGTACACTATAGTGTTAGTAATACCATAGAAAACAATGCATAGAATTCGGACATTAAAATCAACTTCAAGAATGTGAGGACTGGCATGGAAATAAGGACTGTCGCCAATGTTAATGATCTATTAATGAACTCACATGGAAAAAGCTTAAAGTAAACATCTATCACATATTTTTTTTAATACAGTAAACGTTCCCGTAACTGTATTTGACAAAACATGCACTGTATGACATTATGCATGTTGTCTGAGATGACTATCGTTATTGTTTCGTCACACTGTAAAGTGTCCTTTACACATTTTAACCTGATTATGATTAGTAAAGCTGTATAATTGTTCAAAGATTTTATATATTGAAATATGAACAACGTGTTTTGAACTATTTGGTCCTCCTGTGTTATGATTATCATTGTTTGGGTTTCCTGTGTAAACAATCTCGTAAGCGACCATCTCTTGTAAGCGACCACTTTTTCCTGATCCCGAGGTGGTCGCTTACAAGAGAGTTGACTGTGTAATGCTTTAAAAGTAAAGCTAAATAAAATAAATAGTAAACCATTTTGAGAGGTAAAATGTTTAACAATTCTAGATTCAAAGTCATTGCATTAGGCTCCCTGTGCTACACCAAACGACACATTGATGACATGAATTTTTATAATTGAAACTTAATATGACAGGAAATCCCAATGTTGTAAATGTACAAACATTGTTACTAACTGCTTAATGCTATTTGCACTTTTATGGTATAAGTGATCTCATCAGAATGCATTTCTAAATATCAGAAGCATGGGCATATGTAGATCGCAGATTTAAATCTCATGGAATTTTGCATATTTTGAACTAGATGCTATTAGATATTGAAGTTGGTCTAGCTATTTTGGAAAACAGAGAATATCACTTTTTTTTGAAATTTCTAGTGTTTTACGTCATTGCACCAAGCTGTCAGAAAAGAATTTCGCAGTGCATGAATAAACAATTCGAATTTTGAACATAATAAAATAACTTGCTTTCTCTATGTATTACAAGTAAAAAAAGGTATTCTTTGCAACAATTTACTTTAATATATTATAATTATGTGATAGGCAGAATATTACATGGTCGCGATGGTCGATTGGAGATACGAATCTTATCTTATTGTGTTGAAATCTTTCACTCGTTCCTGTATCCGTGTATGTCCTGTCTTACTCAATTTTCCAAAATAGTTAGCCCGGCTTTTCGCTTTAAGAGCGTCTAGTTTTAGAGATAAAACACTTGTGTACCCTCTAAAGACGCATCGAAAATATAGAACCAAAATAACAATTTAAAAAATACTAATATACTCGTCTTTCAGCTAGAGCAAGATTAAGYGAGTACAAAAGTCAATATTCAGATGAATTTTCTCAATCGTTCATATACCAGAACAGCGCGAGTCAACGCTAGAGCCAACGTAGCTGATACAGTATAATCTGAAACCTTACCTAAACCAAATAGGCTCTTCACCCAAGATGACATTTGTCTCGAGTATACGAGCATTCTTGGTACAAAATGGAACCTGGTGAACAATACACATGCAATGAGGTAACGTATAAACGTACACTTTGCTTAAATATAACGGAGAATCTACGCTRAAATCAAACATAAAACAGACTTAATCGTCATAATGCCTCCCAAATAAAAGATACTCACCGAAGTAGTTATGGAGGTTTCTTCTCAATAGCGAGAAATTTAATTCAAACGTTTAAAGCAAGCTATATGTTCGGATACCGGGCGGGTCTAGGGAGGGTTCACTGCAGCAAACCACAGGAATCCCAACAATAGTTTGGACAAGCTTCACATTAGACTGCGTAGCGGGAGGCGGRACAGGAGAAAACGTAGGGGGAGTGGGATTCGGAGGAGGAGGCGTCAGTTGCACATGTAGATGTAGAGCGTTCAGGCGAATCACTATTTTTTCACCATCGTAAAATATAAACAAGCTGCCACTGGCAACAAAACTCGATGGTTATGAATGTTTTTGCAAAATTGCCATACATGTACATGTATATAGCACAACGACATTTATTAGAAAATTGTAGTGGGAGCCGATCATATAGCCACTTCGTAAAAAAAGTCAGTTCTCAGGAAAGTGCCAAACACAAGAGATGACAATAATTCTGCAAAAAAAAACAATAAATAAAAAAAGAAGATAAACAATATATAAAATAGAAATGAAAATACACAATCAGTAAACGTCTCGTCCAGGGAATCGATCCCGCTACCGTCAACCTACATTGGATTTGCAAGCAGCGCCTTAACGCGGTGCGCCACTGGACCACGCTCATTTACATAATAATAGACCACTTGGCACTTTCATCGAATAGACTACCCCAATTTGACATTATACTTTCGATAGTTGCCTAGTTAGTGCAAGGGGTTATCCATCAGTGTCTAGGGGCCGGATAGCTTCTCCCTCACTGGCTTTTTAGTTAGCGCGAAGTTAGGACCAATTATCGGGATAGCATGGAAGAGCCGAAATCTCTAACCGGAATGTAAATCGATTCGCCGCCTCAGCTTCACAGAATGTCTCGGGGGAATCGTCCCAACCTTTTTTCGATTTTATGGTCATGGGTTCGAATCCCA